AATTAAATTATAAAATTAATAAAGTTAAATATTAGTTTATAAAATTTTAAATATTTAAAATTAGTTAACAATTTGTATTATTCGAACAAATTAAAGTGGGGCCCACCCTCGAGGTCTCATTCACTGGATGTGTGAGTTCCGTTGCCGTTTCATCCCCGTCTTCATCCAATACCTCTCTTGTTTGTATATTATGATGACCCGCAGAAATGGAATAAACTACGCATTTTGAACGATTCCCACTTTTTTATTTCATTCTTTATATTCTTTTTCTTCTTCCCATTTCCGTTTCCAAATTCTCCATCTCTGTTTTCGCCGTTCCTTCTTGGTTCTCTCTCATTTCTCACTTGAAAATGCTTTCATCCAAACATGGCCGATGAGTTCTTCAAGTTCTTTAGTGTTTTTCCAGATTTCTGAAACGACCCAATAATCATTAACCAATTTACTCATCTGGGTTCTCTTTAATTTCTTAATTTGATCTTCATTTTGCGTTTTAATTTCATTTTCCCCAATTTCCAAACAGAGCTCACCGAAGAACAGAGTGTTGGTGGGTTTTATACATACAGAACTGGAACGGTCGAGCACGGCGGTGGAGATGGGATGGATTATGCTTAGGATTGACTATTCAAGGCTCTTTTGGGTTTTATTCCGTCACTTTTCAAACGAAAATCACGACGGGAAGGCGCGCATTTAGTTTATCCCCCTCCTCCTCCGCCGCCACGGCGGCCGCCGATTTGATTCTTATTGTTTTCTCGTTCCCCTGTTTTTCTGTTCTTATCTCTCTATTAAGCCCTTGATTTGTTCGTCAATCATGTTCAAGAATTCCAAATCGGAATATGGGTATGTTGAGACCGATCCGACTAGTCGTTACGGCCGTGTAAGTCCTTTCCCCCTCTTATTGACTTGTTTTTAATTAATACTTTCTGTGACGTTGTTTGTTTAATCGTTTAATCGTTTAATGACATGTGGGGTTGTTCTTTATATGTTCAACTTGCTGGTGCTGCCCTTTTGGTTTTGGTGATTAATTTATAGCTTCTCTGTTGGCTTTTGAGTTTTGAATATTTTAAGGTTCTTGATGATGATTGATTGAGCTGCTTTCTTTTTGTGTTGTTTTTTTTTTAAAAGTGATTAAGAAAGCTTAGTGGGTTTTAGCTTGAATTAAGAACAACTTATGAATTGATTTGAATGATTGAATGAAAATTTGCAGCAAGAATGGCACTATTGGTTGAGTTCTTTGCTAATATTTACATGAACTTGTATTATAGTTTGAAGAAGTGTTGGGAAAAGGGGCCATGAAGACAGTGTATAAAGCCATTGATGAGTTTCTAGGAATAGAGGTGGCGTGGAGTCGGGTGAAACTCAACGAGGTTCTCCGATCACCGGAGGATTTGCAGCGGTTGTATTCCGAGGTTCACTTACTTAGCACGCTTAAGCATGAATCCATCATGCAGTTCTACACTTCATGGATTGATGTTGATCACAAAACCTTCAACTTTATTACCGAACTCTTTACTTCTGGAACGCTTAGAGAGTGAGTTTCGATCGATATTTGTAGGATAGTTGACGTTTTAGTTTGATATGATGGTGATTAACAATCTTCATTCTTATGCAGATATGGGAAGAGATATAGCCAAGTTGATATTAGAGCTATTAAGAGCTGGGCGCGCCAGATCCTGTTGGGGCTCGTTTATTTGCACGAGCACGATCCGCCGATAATACACCGAGATTTGAAGTGTGACAATATCTTTGTCAATGGCCATCTTGGGCAAGTCAAGATTGGTGACTTGGGGCTTGCTGCTATACTCCATGGTTCCAAATCTGCTCATAGTGTTATAGGTTCGGATATTTGTGTTATTCTTATAAGGGTGTGAAAATCTCTCCCTAGTAGATGCGTTTTAAAACCGTGAGACTGATGACGATACGTAATAGGCCAAAGCGGACTGTTAGCGGTGGGCTTAGACTATTACAAATAGTATTAGAGTCAGACACTGGACGGTGTGCTAGCGAGGACGCTGGGCCCTCAAGAGAGGTGGATTGTGAGATCCCACATCGGTTGGAGAGGGGAACGAAGCATCCTTATAAGGGTGTGAAAACTTCTCCCTAATAGACACGTTTTAAAATCACGAGGCTGATAGCGATACGTAACGGGCCAAAGCGGACAATATCTGCTAGTCGTGGGTTTAGTCTGCTGAATCCTAATCTAGCTTTTGTGTTTCTTTTGCAGGCACGCCAGAGTTTATGGCACCTGAATTATACGAGGAGGATTACAATGAGCTCGTAGATGTCTACTCATTTGGCATGTGTGTTCTAGAGATGCTCACTGCTGAGTATCCATATAGCGAGTGTTCTAATCCCGCACAGATCTACAAGAAAGTCACGTCGGTAAGGGAACACGGGTCGAGAGTCGATGTCGGTGTCGTTAATGAACAAATACCCGACATTTACACTTCATTTTCTTTATGCAGGGGAAGCTGCCAGCAGCATTGTACAAGATTCAAGACGTCGAGGCGCAGAGATTCATCAAGAAATGCTTGGTACCGGTATCGATGAGGGCGTCTGCTAAGGAGCTGTTGGCTGATCCTTTTCTCATGGTTGATGGAGATAGACCTTCATCAAAAGAGAGGAAGCAAACCCAGAAGCCATTTTTGAATGCTAAAGAGATGGAGAAATTGCACTTGGGTGACGGTTTAAGCAGGACGAAGATGACGATCACGGGGAAGCTGAACCACGAAGACGATACCCTCTTTCTCAGAGTTCAAACTGCAGATAAAGATGGTAACTTTTCGGATCTTCCGAGTCGGAGTATGTTTATCTTTTACGGTCATAGCCTGATGCAAACAACATGTTTGCAGGCTCGCTTAGGAACATATATTTCCCATTCGACATAGTGAACGACACGGCATTGGACGTGGCGATCGAGATGGTGAAAGAGTTAGAGATCTCTGATTGGGAGCCTTTTGAAATAGCAGACATGATAGAAGGAGAGATATCAGCTCTGGTTCCAAACTGGAATAGAAGTGAGTTGTCCAACCATAGTCTCAGCTTCAGCTATGCAGAAGACAACGACGACGACGTTTTGTGTCATCGTAATTTCCGCTCTAACTCCTCGTCGTCCCAAGCTACATTGTTAGGCTTCATCGGCTCCCCGAGCAAAAACCGAAACATACCAAATGGTTTTAGTTGGTTCCCAGGTACAGGATTACAAACGATTAGCTCAACATGAAACTCGTGCTCGTGCGTAGTTTAGCTTTACATAATCGAAACTATTTGCAGATGACACCCTTGATGATAGCAGTTCACAATGCTCGTCGACATCGGGAACGTACTCCAACTTCAATTACATCAGCAACGACGAGTACGAAACCAGTTCGGTTCGAACAGATCAACATAAGATTCACAGCTCCTCGAGATTTTGTCCCGTTGAGAACCGGAAAAACAAGGATTTCTTGGGTGGAGTTTTGTACAAGCCGAGCCAATGTGCAGTCGGGGCGTCCCAAGGAGCAGCATCGAGTCGTAAAGACAAGAGGGGAGGAACGGATGGGCGTAGATTAACAAGAAACAGGTCACTAGTTGATGTACACAGCCAATTGTTGCATCTTTCGTTGGTCGAGGAAGTGAATAGAAGACGGTTATTCAAGACGGTCGGAGCGGTTGAAAGCATCGGTTTTCAAGCGCCTTGTGAGGTTTCTTCGAGCAGCAAAAGGGTGTCGAGTAGGCAAGCGATCGGGAACCGAAGTAGCGATGTAACGAGAACGAGAAGAAATGGTGATACTAGGCAAGATGTTTGGAAGAGAACATGAAAAACATGAGGTAAATGTAAATAGTGGAAGCTTTTGGGGGAAGGTTGAAGGTTGAGTTATTTGAGTGAGTGAGATTGTGAAACATAAATGGTCGTGTTTTTTGTATGTAAAGTGTGTGCTTGTTTTACAACATCAAAGTACTTACCTCCTTCAATAAACAATAAATATAATATTTCTTCCTTTTTTTTCCTAGGAATTATTATTATTTTTAGTTAACCCATGGATTAAATTTAAATATTTAAAAAATATAAGGACTAAAATGAAATAAAATGACATTTTATTTATCACGGTACGATTCCTATTCAAGATCACTACAAATCCTTCTTGGGTGACCGTAGGACAAATGACAGACCGCACCCTGGGAAAAACTCTGATTCCATATGCTAAATGATAAGGAATCACTGTGAGAGAATTAAGATTCGGATTACCCAGATAAGAACACTTGATTGAGATTCGAATCACTACATAAGCAAGGTCAATATCTCAAATCACTACATAAGCAAGGTCAATCATGTCGTTTAAATGGTTCTAAACATTTGATTGAGATTCGAATCACTACATGAGCAAGGTCAATCATGTCAAGTTTAAATGATTCTAAACATGCAATCTAAACTACATAAAATTGCGAAGAAGTTTGAATGATTCTAAACCTGTAATCTAAACTACATAAAATTGCAAAGAAACTCAGTTATTGGCTTAACATTGCACAGACATTTCAAGAGTTGTAACCTTTCTATTTTATGACCATAATTAACCACTACCTAAATATACATGGAAGAAACACTTATCTCTAAATTACTATCTACCCAAAAGCAGTAACCATTTAAAAATAAATGAAACTTAATTCTTCTCTACGTCGCATGAATTGCAACATCTTATAATTATCTAAACAACATTTTCTTCACATCTTTCTTAAAGTTTATGTTGCACGATTAATGCCTTGGTTTATATCAATGGTACTGCCCAGATTGTGGCCAATATTTTTAACCGCACGCAAGCCAAGCTTAGAGCACGTGAAACTCATCACGACCTCGTAAGGACGTTAAGACCATAGCATATTCACAATTCCTTGTGTTTCTCCTTCATTCATCATCGTAAATCATGATAACTTCAACAACTTGCATGCCATTAGTATATTTAACTCCGTGCATAGATTTATATTATAAAGTCCAATATTTGTTACAATTTTATATCGTTCACGCTTTATCTCTATTATTATAATCGAGGTAGGTACATAATATTTAATTGAGTAAAGTATTATTTAAGAGTTGTAATGAACAAACATTAGGTAAATCAGACAAGAAAGAGAGAGCTTAAAGTTTAATGGAATGGCACTTTCCTTGACTTGCAACGACGTGAACCGCACAAACCCTTCTATTACAAAAGTTGGCTAACAAACAACCCATCTTCATTACCCATTCCTTCACCCACACTCTTCACCCAAATCATTCCAAAATGAAAGTGGAAGCTGCTCTAGTTTCCTTCAAATCCAAGCTTTCAAAACCATGCAAGAAACTCCTCCATGTCTTCAAATTCCGGGTCAGGAAGCCCTTGTCGATAAGATCGCTTTGGCCTCGTCCTTGCGCATCCAAGCCCCGGAAGCGTTGGTCGTGGCTCTGGTGGCTACGACGAGGAGTAGGGAAGATGGAGCGAGTGAGAGAGTTGAGGGGCGGAAGGTGTTTGGATGGATCTCAAGAGAAGCTTCTGTTCCCGTCCCCATTGAGAGGGAGGAAGGTCGGGGAGACGACGAGGGGTTCGAGCTCGGCCGAGGAGGTGGAAGATGCTTGTAGGAGCTTTGAGAATTATCTTGTGGAGATGATCATTGAAGAAGGGAAAGTAAGGGACTTGATGGATGTTGAAGAGCTTTTGTATTGTTGGAGGAATTTGAAGTGTCCTGTTTTTGTTGATTTGGTTTGTAGATTCTATGGAGAGCTTTGCAAGGATTTGTTTTCTCCTGATAATGAAGCTTTTACTCCAAATTTGCACCCAATTAAACCATAAAATTTGTGTTTTTGTTCGTCTAGTTCGTAAATTTGGTTCATTCAGATTCGAAGTTAGATCGAGAAATAACAATGTAACAGTGGTGGTGTTTTACTTCTTTGGCTTGTCGATATTTTCGAATTGATCTTTGATTGAAGTCTCCAAGTGTTGTACACGGTAAATGTCAAAGATTTCCGTATTCAACGTTTTTATCATTTTTAAATTTTTAGAGTTTTTCTTGCTTTATTTTTATTTTTTTTCCGACCAAAATTGATTAAATTAATTTTGTGTCAAATGGGCAAATGGGATTTTAGGGTTTAGCCAATTTTATCTTTAATTTAATTTATTCCTATAATTCGAAAAGAAATTATAATTTAATTAGTATGCTTAAAAGCTATTTTTAGGCTTTAATAAAATTTTATAAATAATTTTAGGAATATTTTTAGAATTTTATTGAATGATCCGAACTAATTTTAATATTTTAAATTATCCCCACCAAAAATTTAAATTAAAAAAAAAAAAAAGAAAAATAAAAATAAATAAAAATAAAAATATCCATGAAATTAGTATTTTTTTCTAAAAAAAATACCTTTTGAATTTTAGAAAATTCATTAATACCTTAACTTCGTTAGAAAAATAGCATCAATATTTTTTACCTTTATAAAAAAGTTCTTTTTTTTTAACTTCTACCGACAAGTTATAAATTATCTCCAAAATTTTTAATGTTATTTTATAAACAGTAAATTTAAATATATTTTTAAATTAAGAGTATTAATGATATTTTTTAAATAATTTTAAAAATTAAAGGTATTTTTATTAATTTAGGTAAATAGTTAGTATGGTATTTTAGTAATTATCGGACGAAGGCATTGTATAAAATAAGGGTTGGGGAACGACGACCCAAGGGTTTTGGTGTCGTCCATCGGTACTGAAACACTCGAGGATGGGAAGAGAGGGAGCGAATGGCGGTGACGGAGGTTAGGGTTACGGCGATGGAAGAGAGAAAGGGAGTTGCCATGGAAATGCTCTTGAAGCGGCAATTGAACATGTGGATTGCAAAAAACCTGAGGGGATCCTGATGGTATATTACGATAGTAATTACATAGTTTTCAATCTGAATCTTAAACGATTGCTGCTCGGATTTCTGTTCTTCCTCTCTCTTTTCCTCGCCGTCTCTTCTCTGCTGCTTTGCTCATTCGCTTCCTCCGGAGCCTTGTGATGATGTTTTTCTGAAGGTTTCTCTCCGTCCTCTCCTTAATCCTTTTGGTATGTGATTTTGTATTCGTGATCGATTATCGGCTCGCTTTGGAATTATGTGTGTTTGTGCTTTTAACCGACATTTTCTAGGTCATGTTTGGTTCCTTAGAAGAGTGCGAATCACAAACTGTAGGAAACTAGTATGACGTTTGTTTTTTAAGAACTATAGTATCAATGAGTTGAGTTACGGATGGTCGGAAGTTTCTCATGAATGTGTTGTCATGCAGGTGAAGATATTGAAGTCAAATTTGATGTTTTCGTGTCATTTTTTAACTTACGAAGTTGAAGGGTCTACAGTTTACTGGAGTTTATTTTTTCTGATGCTGATCTTATGGAATTTTCTAAAATTTTAGAGATTAGAATGCGATAGTTTTACCAATTGTTGGTCTACACTTTTCATTATATCATGGTTGAAAAATATGACAATTACTATATATATATATATATTTTTTTTTTCCTAGAAGAGGAACCAATAATTTTGTTGAAGTATTAGCAAGCATGGTGACATTGCTACTATATGTTTGGATCATTTGGTCTTGAAACTTGATTCAAATTGTAAGAGTAACCTACATTTGAGGCCAGTGCGAAGCCTCTGGCCAACTGTGGCGGTACAATTTCATGCCAGGTATAGAAAAAGGGGTTAACTTACAAAGGTGTAGTGACTCATAAAACCATTTTTGGAACTCTTTCATGCCTTTTTTGCTTGTCCACCACGCATGAAGGAGAAAGAGTCGTATTTGAGCTTATTTGGCACAATTTTGTGCTGAATTTTCTATTGCCTTGCCATAGTTATGGTAGGACTAAATTTATTGGACTTTAGTGTCCTCTCTGTTACAAACTGGATTTCTTTTTCTTGTTATCTTTGTTATGTAATTCTATGCCCTCTGACCAATGCTCGTTTATTGGGCTTTATTGTCCTCCGCAATATTTCCATGTAATTGGAGATGGATAATCAAATGGATTATGGAATTGTGCTGGTTAGCTTGAGAACAAAAAATTTAAGCTGGTTACAATTAGGCAACTTCAACTATCTTTGTGAAAAACAGAGAAACCCCTCCGAACTCTAGCTTCACTTAGTAGATTGACTTGGTTGATACCATGGTCAACGGCGATAAGACTTTGTTTTAGAAACTTCAGCAACTAATTTTATACATTTTTGTACTGTAGGTTGCATTTCTTATGCACAATACACTTGCCCTTAGCCAACAGGTTTAGAAAGGTATGAGGTTGCTTTTTTTTTTGTGAAAATGGACATCTAGCGAAATGTTAGGTTTGGGGCTCATACAGGAGGAAACTGTGATCATAAATTTAGGTTATTCATTCCATCGTGTGTAAATTTTCATTTTCATTTTCATTTATACTGAAATATATTTAGGTATTCTTGTTTACATGCTGCATCGTGGCCCTTTCTTTTTGTATTTGTTGATATTTAGTGCAGGTAATCAGATTGTGAGTGGGTAAAAAATGCAAGTTTATCATTCATATCTGATACATCCAATTTATTGGTAGATTACTTTACTTGTGCCTTGGTTCTTTTCTTTAGCTCGAATACAGTGTTACTAGTCTACCGGAAAACTGTAAATCCCTAAATCCCTATTTTGTTTTTGTTCTTTAAACAAGAAAAGAATCAATGATCTCAAAAGAAACACGTCAAGACATCATATTAAATTTTTATTATTTCAGTTGTTGTTCCCTTCATCTCATTATAACTTGACATTAACAATTGCCTTTGTTGACCATATCCCACACAGACCGGATTTCACAATGATTTGCTTGCACGTATCCTGAGGCAACACAAGAGGAGAAGATGCTTGAAGGAAAGGAAACACAATTGTTTGTAAGCCTATACCATGGAAATAAAGATCGTGCTAAACAAATTTTTCCTTGACCAGAATATTGTAATTTTCATGCAGGTGTTGTAAATGTGTATGAACTGTAATGTGAATTGCTTTAATTATATGTTTAAATCAATCTCGTGTTTTACTTAGTTCATGGGAGGGTAAGGTTCTATTATTTTACCCCATTAGATTAGCATGTAAATATCTCCTAATTGCTCAACCTAGCCAGCCTATATTTATGGCTTGGGTTCCCCGGTGCTAATTTGTTTCTTCTTTTAATTCATTAAACGACCCCCTGTCTGTTGACCTCGACCCATCTTGATATTGAAATGAGATAAAGGAGCCCATTATTTCTTGGAAGAATCGGTAGTTGTGGGAGATTATGGGCCCCTATTCTGGTGAGCTTTGAGTCTTTAGCATTGAGGCATAAGTTACAACATCACTTTCTCTCCCTTTCAAACCCAAACCCAAAGGGGGCCCTAAAATTTCAACCTATTCCTTCTGTAGGGTTTTAAATAAAGGTTGTTCTAACATATATTATTTCAATCACGTTTATTCATAAGATAGAAACGAGAAGTTCGTGGTGAGAAAACAAAACAAGGGATTAAAAATCCTCCTAGTTCTTATTTGATTCCAAAACATGGGCCAAGTATATCTCCACAAGTTAGAAAGTTTGTTCATTCAATTCTCTCTTTATTGGATATTTTGTGTTTCCTTCTTTTCGTATTTTGTTCTCTTGTGCTTTTCGTTTAAATTTTCTTTTTGTCGTTATTGCAGCTGCGGTGGTCGTGCAATATGAAGAGCAGTGAAACTAAATGATTGGCCTGCGCCTTCCGATGAGTATGAATTATTGGTGCGTTAAAGTAATGGAAGAATATTAAGTGTGAGTGGAAAGCCAGCTTTACAAAGATGACCTCTGAGCTGCCTGATGCATGCACCCTTCGCACCATTATCGGGATACAGATACGTTTCATCACCTGGACCTTCGTCTAATTATTTCTCTTACTCATTATGTAATAATACTTGTGTGTTGTGATCTTAGTTAAGGATATTTGACTTAAATCACTGAAGCTATGTTCAGATTGATGCTTAATTTTCACCAGTTTTTGACAACTGCGTAATTCCTCATACAGGTATAGATGAACACCATTTGAATTGAATTCATTTTTCCTTATATTTTTTAAGTTCTTATGGCTACTAAGTCAACTCATTACTGTTAGGTTGGTGCTTAATTTTGATTTGATATTTATAGTTTTATATTTTCACACTTTGTTGAACATTATTGTGAAGGTTGGTGGTGCTTACTTGGAATGGTCTGTTTTAAAGATGATCCTTCCTTTTCTAAATGGATCTACGTAACATTGGGGGAAAATTGATAGAGAAATTTGCAGAAGGATGATTTGATTGGCCCTGTTGTTTGGGTGAAATTTTTTACGGTAAAGCAAGGTACCCTCTTCGAACTCGAGACTTTTGTAATGAGTTCAAGTTAGGTACTATTCTTCGGGCTCCGATCTGATAACGTATGCTTAAAGCCTTTGGCCTTGTTTTATGAAAAGATTTTAGAAAATGGTGGCAGAGATATCTTTGAAAGAGATATCTTTGAAAGCAAGATTGAAAGAAACATTATCTTGTGGATTCAAAAGGCTAGAAACATTATCTTGTTATATAGGCTAGGAACCAAGAAAGACAATACAATGACTTAGATAACATTTAGCATCTCCCGTCTACCAAGCATATGCATGATTTTGTAGAAACATCATACTCCTAGAAAATATAACAAGAAAACATAAAGCAATAAAGTAATACAATACAAGAGTTTTGGTATGCAATGGGCACGCCTAATTCTCGGAAACCACTTAATTTAAAGTGTTAAAAGTAAAGCATGGAATTAGAGAGATATTTAGCACTAATAACTATTGTTGTGGGTATTACAGAAGTTTATGATAATTTGGATTATTAGGAAGGTTTAATGATGAGGCACATAAATGGTGGGTGAGAATTGAGATAAATAGAATATATAGGAATTGGGTTTGGTTTTCAAATCATATTAATTATTAATTATTAAGCGTGATATTTGTGTAGGCTCTCTAATATATAATAAAAAAGTACATGGGGCTGTGATTCGGTGAATATTCCGTGACATCATTTATTTATTTATTTTATTTTATTTATTGAATTAATTACTTATTTTAATTGTCAGATTTGAACTTGTACTCTGTTTTGATATCTTTACGTAATTTCCAGGAATCATCTTCGGACACGTGGTTATTTGAAGCTTACAGGAAAGGTCCCTTCTGCCCTTCCATTTTCTGGTTGTATATAATTTTAAGAAAAAGAAAATCATTTTTACTCCTTACTATAAATTTTTAATTTCACTAATTCGCAGTAATAAAAGATAATGGGATTTAAATATATATATATTTTTTATAAACTCACTAATTTTAATAGAATTAAATTAGAAAAGGATTAGAAACAGGGTTTAGGGTTGATTATATATAAAGTAAAAAACAAATAGTTTTTGACATATCATTAAAAGCAATAATATGAATGAGCATGTGAAAATTGAATGTCTGGGTGTATGCGCGTCGAGCTTACTGTGCTGCCTGCGCGTGCTCTTATCCAATCACTTTTTTTTAAAAAAAAATAAAAGAAAAGTAGAATCCAATTCCATATTTTAGAAATTTCCTTTTTTATTTCCTCCCATTAAAATATTCTAAGTTTTAATTTTAATTTATGGTTAAATAGCTCACTATTTAAAAATATTGTAAGTTTAACAAATGTACATAAATCTTAGTATTAACACCATATACTTTTATTAAAAAGGTTTATGAAAATTTAGAGTATTTTCTAACATGGTATTGTGAAGTATTTATTTTAATTATTTTTTTTTTAAGTTTAAGGATATTTTTGAGATAGACAAACTTAAAATTTGCGGTAAGATTAGTTCAAGATCATGGAATGGGATCTTTTTCTATCATGATACTTCGAACTTGGAACAAACATGAAGAAGTTAGTTCTACATATGAAAATTTAAGAATATTTTTTATCCAAAATGAAAAATTGAAAGAAAATTTTATTAATTTAGTCTAATTTATTTTACCAACTAATCATTTTAACTTAACTTTCAAAAGTACAAGGTATTGTATAACTTTTTTTTTTAAATTAAGAGAGCTAAAAAAACTTGGAAAATTTTAAGAATATTTTTTTTTATTGTTTTGAAAGATATTTATAAAATAAAATATTAATAATTTTTAAGATATCATCTAAATTTTAGTTCTCTTTTTATTTTTAATTATTAGTTTTATTATTTATGAACATATTATCCAATTCAGCCAACTACCAATTACCAAACACATATTCCAAAATTACCCTTCTCTCTCCTCAGAAATAAATAAATAAATAAAATAACTCGGTGGCTGTTTTAGGTTTTTAAAATTGACCGTTCCAAAATCCAGTTGGCAAAACGAAAGCCACAAAACGGGGGTAAAAAAAAAGGACACAGTTTCAAGTATTCACGCGAAAACGACACTTCTTCTCGTCGTTTCGTTTCACGCTCAGTTTCACCAGTCAACGCGTTGAAGTTAGATACCGCGGACGGCGCCGACGTGGCATCACATCATAAACGTGTCAAGTCCCAGCCAATCACAACCTAACAAGTACCCTTAACCCCAAATCTTTATTAAATGTTTTAAATTCAATTGTCAACAAAATTAGTAAAATAAATTTTAAAAAGTCAGAAAAATCGGTAAATTCCCTCTCTCTCTCTCTCTCTTTTTGAAATTTCAAATTTAATTCATAAATTCTTTTTTTTTTAATAAAAAAAATTCATCTAGCAAGCATTTTTTTATTAAAATAATGACACCGAACACTTGTTCTTATTCACTGTTTTATTTTTAATAACAACAATTACAAAGTTGGAGATTCTAATTAATATTTTTTTTTTTGTTGCCTAATAATTTATGTTTAAATTAATCGATTCATAAGAGCTGTCTGGCTATTAAAATACACTTAAAATAGAAAAATCCTATAAAAATCATAAACTTTTAAAAAAATGTTTAATAAATTACAAAAATTTTGTATTTATTAGACTATATTCACGTACTTACTGGATTTGAAATTTATCGCATAAAAATACAATTTTATATCTAATATAAATAAAATTAAAAGATTTATTATATTAATAAATTTATTAAATACAAATTAAAAATCTAACTCGAAAAAGGTTAGGAATTAAGTGAGACATAAATTAATGGAAAGTTAATGGAAAAATTAGGAAGTAAGTTAAAAGTTTTTTTTAACATTAATTAATTTTCTGATTTTAAAAATATGAAATTCCAAATTTGCCCTTCTTTCAGGATTCTTCCAAATCTTGTTCTATAATATAACAATCTCTTCTCCCTCTCTGTTTCTTTTTTATAATCATTTTCAAAATCCTCTTCTCTTCTCTTCTCTACCATTTTGATTCTCTTTCATTTTTCTCTGTAATTTCGATTCGATCTCTGGCCCTTCGCAGCCTGATGCCGGAGATCGAACCCTACTCCGCCGGCAATAATGCCCTGTTTGGCAAGTACGAGCTCGGCAAGCTCCTCGGCTGCGGCGCCTTTGCCAAGGTCTACCATGCCCGCGACCTTCGCTCCGGCCAGAGCGTCGCCGTCAAAGTCATCAATAAGAAGAAGATCTATGGCACAACGCTAATGTCTAACATCAAGAGGGAGATCGATATCATGCGCCGTCTTCGCCATCCACACATCGTCAAACTCCATGAGGTTCTCGCTACCAAATCCAAGATCTACTTTGTTATGGAATTCGTCAAAGGAGGTGAGCTCTTTGCCAAGGTTGCTAAGGGCCGATTCAGCGAGGATTTGAGCAGGAAATTCTTCCAGCAATTGATTTCTGCTGTCGGATTTTGTCACGCGCGTGGGATCTACCACCGCGATCTGAAGCCGGAGAATCTCCTCGTCGACGAGAATGGAAATCTCAAGGTCTCGGACTTCGGACTCAGTGCGTTAACGGACCAGATCCGCTCCGATGGCCTTTTGCACACACTCTGTGGAACTCCGGCGTATGTCGCGCCGGAGATCTTGTCGAAGAAGGGATACGACGGTGCTAAAGTCGATGTGTGGTCCTGTGGTGTGATTCTTTTCGTGTTGAGTGCTGGTTACCTTCCGTTCAATGATCCGAATCTCATGGCCATGTACAAGAAGATTTACAAGGGAGAATATCGGTGCCCTAAATGGATGTCGCCGGACCTCAAGAGATTTCTATCGCGACTTCTCGACACGAATCCTCAAACTAGAATCACCGTCGATGAGATTCTCAGCGATCCGTGGTTCAAAAAAGGACCAATTAAGGAGATCAATTTCTACGATGATTACGAGATGAAATATGAAGAGAAGGACGAATCTGAATCGAAGAATTTGAACGCATTCGACCTTATATCATTCTCATCTGGATTAGATCTCTCCGGTTTGTTCGACAATTCGCACAACACAGAGGCGGACAGTGAGCGATTCGTATCAGCAGAGTCTCCAGAGAAGATCGTGGAGAAAATCGAAGAACTCGCTAGGGCAGAGAATTTGAAGGTGAAGAAACAAAAGGAATTTGGAGTTGAATTGGATGGGCAGAATCGTAATTTATCAATCGGAATCGAAATTTTCCGGTTAACCGACGGATTGGTAGTGGTGGAGGCGAGAAGAAGAAGTGGAGATGCAGAATCGTGTAAGGAATTGTTGAAGAAGAAGCTCAAATGTCACCTCACCGGCAACGAAGCGTCGACGTCAACATCACAACAAGATTCCGGCGACCAAAACCAGTGAGACATGTGGAATTCTTCAGAATCGAACAAAAAAATTAGAGCAGAAAGGGTGATGTTGACGATTGAAGAAGAAGATGCTGTAATGTATTTTCGATTTAAAAAATTGATGAATTTCAAGAACGTTAATAATTATAATGAAAAAAAAATGGAAAAAATAAAAAGAATTAAGAATCTTAATGAAGTAGATAAGAACTGTAATACCCTTTAATCTGCTATTAAAAAGAATTTTAAAAAAAATAAAAGCATCTGCCAGTGGAATTTAAGAATGAATTCCCTGGCACTGCTAAGAACTCAGAAGAATTAGGGTTTTTTTGTTTAGCCGTTTCTATGTATGTAATTATTATGTAAATACCATTTATTTTTGGGGTATATAAAATTCTCACCAATTCAATGCCATTTTTTTTCTTTCATTTTCTACTTCTTTTCTTTCTTTTTCATTTTCATGATTTCGAGCTTGATGATTGGGAAGTTTTCCAGAATTGAAGTTGATGTCGTTTTAGTTGTTGAGATACTTTGGGTCGAAGTTTGGTTTAATAAATTTCTGTCTCGAGTTGTTTTGTCTCATCTCGTTGTCATCTTTTGAGTCGGAAAGTGGCATGCATAGAGACAAGGGCACATGAAATGGAGATGAAAGCATCATATTTGGAGATGTGGCCGAGAAATTTCCTGACCATACCAAGCAAAATCATATATCAACTTCAATTTCGCAAAGTTTAAATCTTAAATTTTATAAATGCTTCATAGCTATCATTAGAGTCGAAAAATCATAAGAATGTCGAAGGAAATGTATCATAACTACTCTTACCTCATAATTTTTCGTCCAATATTTTAAAGTATTTGAAAGAATGTAGTTTTGAAACATTTATAAAAGGATAAGTAGCGGGTATTTTATATAATACATAATTTAACCAAAAATATAAAAAGATTTATGAAATGAAAAAAAAAATAATGGTGACAGATTGACAAGTGGGAAGAAGAATATGGTTTGTGAGGCTGGAAATGTTCAAATAGGAAATTAGTTAAATGATTAAAGGGGCCCCATGCTAAGCTGTAATGTTATGAACAATTCATTTTTCTTAATGGCCTTAAAGATTCCCACACCATTATTGCTAATAATACCGTCAGCAACTTCAATTTCAATCTTTCGTTAAGAAAATCGATAACCATTAGCAATTTTTTCTCACGAACATAGACCTGTACTTGAGAGATAGTTATCCATATATTGATAGCGTATGTATTTCCCGAAAAGTGATGCAAAACATATAAAACATGACATTGTTACCATTATTAGCCATGAATTCTAATGTAAGGTCACCTAATTGACACTCAAGCGATCATACATGAGATCTTGACCTCATACGCCTCTACCAACTTAACTATATCCGGGTGTCAAATGGGTTAAAAAAGTATGCCGAAAAGTTACACAAACCAAACCTTTCAATTCAAGTGCAGAGCCACCAAGAACATAGCAGTGCTGTAAAGTTATATTTATGAATGACTTTGAAGAATGACATTTGGAGATAGGCGTTACCAATGAAATCTAAATCCCACATGATGACTTGCAAACGTGTCTCTTCTTTTTTGCCAAACTCACCAACCTTCACTTTTGTTCCTTCCAGCCAAACCCGATGCCATAACACAGCCGCGTGACCCAGAACTGTCATGAAAGCAACAGCAGTTCAAAAGCATTTGGACAATGAAGTTTATATCTCATCAGACAAATATCTTATGCTCTACCAGAGGTCTGTCGAGTTTAAAGTTTATAGGTATCACTTACATGGAAGCAGACTTTAGAAACTCCAGCTGCTTCCGAGCTTGTATTACTCATTTGAGGCTCCTCTCCTTGATCAATCAGGCAGGATTTCATAGCCTGGCCAATGACAAGATACAGATTCTATATGTATGGATTGTTACAGATGAAGTTCGATGTACAAAACGTAATTCGGGTACTTCTTGTGAATATGTGAAAGATATAAGAAGCTGATAATAGATTTTGCAATTTTGTTGTGCAAGTGTTTATCAGAATGTAGTGTAGCTTTAGTAGATGAACAAATGTACAGAAAAGTATGTTACTAGTACAAGTTGGGGAAGATCGACATTAAGGTCCTGGCAAATCCAGGTTTTATGATTGTTCTTCGAGCTGCTACTGCTGTTGTGACACACCCTCTTGGTCCAGATATGGATCCCGATCCTGCAGTTCGAGAGGCTGATGCGGAGGCGGAGGCTGAGGCTGTTGTTGCTGCTGCTCCTGCGCCTGCTCGGCTCGCCATACCCATACAATATCCTGTAGAGCTGGTCTTATGTCCTCTTTTAATATCTTCTGATACTCCAATGTGTCCCCATTGGATTTTTTCATCTCCACCAAATAAAAGGATGGAGTAATCTCAAATATCTCTGTATCAATGGACAAAGGCCCCTTTTTACCCTCTGTCAGCGCCTCGAACTTCAGTAGGCCTGCTTCCTTCTTCTGCACCCGAAACCTGAGAAGTTTAGCGATATCTTCTAGCTTGGAGAGAATAACAGAGGCCGGTTTTCTACAAGTAAACAATGTTTCTTTCCTCTTTGAGTTGTCTTCAAATAAACTGGATAGATTGAACCCAGCAGAAAGGGAGATGATATCGAAAGCGTTCAACGTCGGAGGTCTATCTGGCTCTTGATTTCCATCTGCTGACACACTACTGCTCTCTGATGTTTCAGAAACAGCTGCTGCATCTTCACTCGCTTTAGCATCACTTCCTGTTTCACTTCTTAACATCTTAAACCTCAATCCTTTTTTGAACCAGGAACTTTGCCTTATCATTGCTATGGAAGTTCTAGTAGCGGGGTTTGGATCAAGCATCCTCATAAGCAGCCGACGTACATCACGAGGGAACCAACTAGGGCATTTATAGTCCGCTTTTCCAATTTTCCTATACATCTCCATTAAATTTGAATCGTGGAATGGTAGATAACCTGCCAATAAGACGAACAAGACTGCTCCACAAGACCAGATATCAGCTTTTGCACCATCATAGCCCTTCCTATTGATGACTTCAGGAGCAACATAAGCTGGAGTACCACAAGTAGTGTGTAGCAACCCATCTTGGCGCTTGGACTCGGCTAAAGCACTTAAACCAAAATCAGACACCTTAAGATTCTCATTTTCATCAAGAAGTAGGTTCTCTGGCTTTATATCACGGTGATATACTCCCCTACTGTGACAAAAATCAACAGCATTGATCAACTGATAAAAGTATTTCCAAGCAACTTCTTCCCTCAGCCTCCCTTTAGCAACCTTGTCAAAGAGCTCACCGCCTTTAGCATATTCCAAGGCGAAGTAGATCTTAGTCTTGGTGGCCATAACCTCATATAGATGTATAATATTAGGATGCCTAACAAGTCGCATAATAGATATTTCACGCTTAATCTGATCTATTAGCGAAGCCTTCGTGATCTTTTCTTTATCAATCACCTTAATGGCCACGCTTTGATTAGTTTCTGTATTTCTCGCATAATATACCTTCGCAAAGGTTCCTTGGCCGAGTAATCTACCTAATTCATATCTTTGAACCACCACAATCTGCTTATTATCCATCCCAATCTATCAAATCCTAAAATTGAAAAGTACAGAACAATATCCTAATATCAACCAGATCAACAATGCAGGAGTTGATAATAAAAAAGATGCTCAACCATCTTCCCATAAATCGAGTACTGATAGAGTACGCGCTCTACGCAATAACTTGCAGGTAATCAGGTGAGGTTTCCTGATTTATGACACTGTTTTCCTCCAATGCAAAACAGGGCAATTCAACTGCATCAAAACAATTATAGATGTTTGAAAAGGATTGTGAAGGATTAGAGTCATTTTTCGGCATTCCCTGGAAAACCAGAGAATTGGAGCACCACTGGTTTCTCTTTAATCGAAATCAACCACCACCGCCCACCCTTCAGCCAAAAGCGAGATACTCAGCAAGAGATCCCTGACGGCAAAGGGAAGTTTGGAACCATTCATATTAATGAACTTTCAATTCAGAAAAAAAAAAAAAAAAATCACAAAACTATCGATATCGAACGTCTTAATACTCAAAACTAAGCTCACAAACGCATATACAATCAGAATCACATCCACAACCGCAACAAGAATTTAGAATCAATTATCAATCTGTAAAGCTATTAGAATCCTCCAAACATTTCAATCTACCGCTTCCCTGTTTCTGCTTCATTTTTTAATCTTCCCACTCAAATTAAGCCTCTCCATAACCAAAGAACTCGAAAGCATCTTTCTCATAGTTAGTGCAATAGATTGAAGCAAATACAACAAAAACCAGAATATTCTCAGAAAAGAAGCAACGCCTCTCTCCTCTCTCTCTCTATCTATCTTCGCAATAAAATTCTAACGCAGTAGTAAACTGAAGAAAATCAAAATCAAAATCAAAGAACACAAAAAGAAAGAATATGAAGCAAATAATCCATAATGATAACCAAATTAGAAGTCCATAAATTCTTAATTCTTGAACCCTTACAAGAAAGTGGAGTAAATCAATTACCGTTTTGGTTAAGCGAAGAGGCGGCTTGTGGTTAAGAGCAGCAAAATCTCGAGATCGAGGATTAATGGAGAGGATTAAGATGGAAGCTTGGTTTAAGCTCATAAATTCGAAATGATTTTTCAATGTAATGCATATGGGAGGGCCGCAGAACTGGGTGCATCATCGAAAACTCGACCAGCCTGCTTTTGGGGCCGGGATCGTGTACGGGCAACTGCACGTTTCTCCAAGTGAAACACCCGTTACATCACACCACCTGTTCAACAGATCCAATGACTCATCTTTAATTTTCTACAAAATAATATTCTTCCAACTTTAATAAAATAAAAAACACCTTTATGGTTATTCAAAATCTAAATCGTTACTATTTTGTTTAAATTATCGAGAATTAGTTAATATGTTATTTGGGTTCGATAAACAGAAGGAGAGACGCGTTATGAGTTTAAGTCGTTTTTTAGGACAACTAGTTACTGAGAAAAGAAAGAAGGTAACGACTTACCCTATTTTCTTATTAAAAACAAAGTCGTCATTGTATGCATGACATGTCTATTATGCGCCGAAATGTTCATTTAAAATATTGTATAAATGATGTCATGGATTTGAACATTCGTCAAATTCATTTCAATTAAAAGTAAACATCAAAGAAATAGCGGAAACAAAACTTAAACATAAATGTAACTATCACAGCTTTAGTTTCGTGGCCTTCGTAGTAATGCTGTCATCCGTACATGGGTGTCTTATCTTTACATGAAAAGAATTAGTACGTGGCTTGAGTATTTAAAAATACTTAGTCAGTAGACCCACGGTTGGGGTTGAAAAATGCAAACACATCAATCGTGATGGGATCTATCTTTTCGTAAAAACATCATATCATGTCCTTGGGCTCTACTTTCCAGTCTAGACATGGCTGGATGTTTGTAGTACTTCCCTACGCATAACTCACACACATGCACATGAACCCACCAAGCGGTCTCGTATATGTATCTCTAGGGCCTGACTCGTCAGGCTAGCACACACTCATAGTATCATATGTTACGAGGGAAAGATCCTACATAATATCATGGCGAACATAGATATCGTAAGGTATATGTTCGTATTAAATGTAACGGAGAAGTATCTCGATGCTTATGTTGTACATAATGCATGAAGTTCCATAACATTAAAACATGGCTTATATTCATGACGATATTCATACCTCAATTCTTTTCCTGGCATAGTGTTTCTATAAGACATACATACTTGATACTTGTCATATTGTTCATGATTTACATACATGCTCTGTGTGGTGCATGGAGGTTCTTGCCTAAAATAATATTAATAACATAAGATAGTTCCACGGCATAACATAATTATATCATAGTGTATCTGACATCATAACATAAACATAACTTAATACACGTCATACAAACATAAAACACGACATGTAGGAGCTACCGAGCATGTTTGGTTCTTGCAGCAAAATAAGTCATCCAACCAAACCAAAGCTGAGAAATAATCAGATGGGTACGAGTTTTGTTTTCTTGTCCGTAAAAATGAGATGGGTAGAAAAATGGAAACTTTTTATGGTCGGTTATCCAATTAAAACGTTTATTCTTATCTACTCAATGCGATAACACCTACTCATCACACACTTTTATTTGTCACACCTAAATAAAACCTTTTAGCTCAGAAATAATTATAAAACCTATGATCTGCCATTTAAAACACTATAAAAAAAAATATAGGGTTCTTTTAAAATTATAAAAACGAATCGAGAGAGACAATCTCTGTGAATGACGTTGGTATAAAGTTAAGTCTCTCCGACATTATATGATGTTACGTCCATCAAAAGCTTAGAGACTTATTAAATTTTTTTAAATAAAAAAGTATAATTAATAATTATTAAACACAAAATTAAAAATTAAAACTATCTTACGAAAGTTTAAGAATTAATATTATCATTTACTATATTTTTTCGGGGATTTGACCACAAAAAAAAAAAAAAAAACGAAGAATTATAGTTTTAACCAATTTGATCGATATCTTCTTCAATGGGTCCCTTAGTGACTTATGAGTATTACCGACACTAAATGTTAACCTAATCGAATAAAAATGAATTACAAGCAATCAAGGGATTTGCTAACCTAACATAGCAAATTTAGCTTTTATATATTTTTACAATTCAACCATATATAATCTAATAAACATTAAAAAAAAAATCAGATTATTTACAAAATGACGTCATTTTTCTATAAATTTGGTAAAAAAAGATTTAAAAAAAACAAGTATCCACACGCCAATTTACCATTATACCCTCCGTCGTTAGAAGACAAGTCACGCGCTGTGCATTGGCCATCACAAGCATCGCTAAACGCCTAAGCCCCTTTTGGACTGTACAAATTTCCATATTTACCCCTAGGATTGTGTTTAATTTTCGATTTCCACCTCCAAAAACCAGAACCCAAAAAACTACTTGGACTGAAATTCTTAGAGCTTAGTCCGATATTTGCATCGCTGATCCTCAACGTTTCTCTTTCTAATGTCGATGGTGAGATCACAAGACGACAATGCCACAACACGAATCTTGAAAACACCGATCACCATCACTTTCCCGGGCAGCCGAGCGAAAGTGCTGATCGGAAGTTCACCGGCGAGCACATCGGATAACAGCTCCGACTTGGCTAGTAGCCGGTCCGCCATCATCGTCAGCGTTAGGTTCATTTTCTCTGTCCCGTCGGCCGATAACCGACCAGACGGAATCGGCGCTTCTGCGACTTCTTCGCCTCTGTAACTCACAACGGCGGTGCCATCGGAGTGTTGGAAGGCTACCTTATTCGGATTCTCGACGGTGAGTAGCACAATCAGAGTCAAATTCAGATCGACGCGGAACCTCGCAGCGTCCAGAGAAATGTTGAGATCGAGCAAAGAAAGTGAATCGACGGTGATGGTGGGCTGCTTGGGCTTGAAAACTGTAAATGCTAAGATGAGGATGAAGATTACGAGCAGGATTAGGGAAAGTAATACGGCTATGCAAATGTTCCGTCGCTTCCGATTGAGAGCGGCCATTTTAGGTCTGGTTTTGGATTCTCTGGTTTTTTAGGGTTCTAATAGGGTGCGATGGAGAGAGAGATTTTGGAAAAGTAGCTGCCGAACGTCATTAATTTGCAGGTTGAAATTTACACACGCAATTAATTTGAAGAAACGTTTTGATATCCGAGTGTGAAGATCATGTTGGTCCACACCATGTTCCCCATGCTCATACCCTTGGATGATGAAATCGTAAACCAAAGTCACGAGAGCTTAAGTTTAAGGTAGATAATATCATATTATTGTGGAGAGCCGTGTTTGTCGGTATCAGAGTCATGTCCTAAACTCGAGGAGAGGTGTTGAGCCTCGATTAAGGAGGAGGCCTACTTTATTCGAGGAGAGGTGTTGGATGATGAAAGTTCTACATCGGCACACTGGACAATATCATACCATAGTGGAGAGTCATGTTCGTCTATACTTAGACGAAATTGGTAATATATATATATATATTTGCAAAAGGATGAAATAATATATAAATGTAATATATAAAGTGACGGGAACAAATCCTTTATACTTCATAAATGATGTCATGAGCTTAATCATGTACGAGAAATATAATAATAAAAAAAATTAACAAAAACAACGTAAAAACCCTAATCTAATCTAAGGGCTACTACACCAAATATAAGTGAAACTAGCCTAACTTTTCTTCCATGATCTTCGTAGCGATGTCGTCATTGATACAAAGGGTGTCTTACATTTACATGAAAAAAAAAAAAAGTAGTAGGCGGCTTGAGTATTTAAAAATACTCAATAAATAGTCTCACTATTGAGTCGGTAAATGCAAACACAAGCAATCATGATAGACTTGTCTTTTCGTAATGTATCGTGACCTTGAACTTTACTTTGTAGTCTAGACAAGGTTGAATGTGTAATACTTCTCTACACACAGCCCATATGTGCTCATATGGACCCCACCAGGCGGGCTGATATACGTAACTTATAGGTCTGGCATAATCATATCATAGCATAACTTAGAATACAACATAACATATATCATAGCATAAACATAACAAAGCACACGTCAAATAATCATAAAACACGACATATGTAGGGGCCATAGGACACCCATCGTTCATACAACAAACAAGTTATCCAACTAAGGCAACAATGAAGCCACTTGGTTGCTCTTTGAACTCTAGTTACATGTAAGAAGTCCTACGATCATAAATTAGAATTATATCGAAGAAATTGGGTCACTTAATTTATGTAAAAAAAAATATAAACTTAGTTTCAAATAATTTAAATGAACTTAAAATAGTAAGGAAGAGCGTGAACACATTAGATCCAAATCAGATAAGCCAGCATCGAATCCAACTCAATTTTGAAAATATAAACTTAAGGACAATTATTATAACTTAATAAGTCGAGTAATCTTCCTTTTATACCGGAATCCAACTCAATTAAACAATGATATGTAATTAATATAAAGATCATTTACCATAAATATGAAAAATGTCAATAATAGAAAAAATAAAATATAATGATTTCATAAATATAAAGAAATTTGTAATAAAAATGGTGCACAAAATTAAGCCAACAAAACATTTGGGCTAAACTTGTAAAACGTAAGCCCATATCTGAGCCCATAGCTGAGCCCATATCTGAGCCCATGACCTTGGTTAATGGATTAAGAAGTTGGTTAGATCGAGCCCAGTATTTTATAGATTGCCCTATTGGATTTACATTTATTATTTTATTTGTTGTTTTAAGTTATTATTATTTTACCCTAATGGGTTTGCAATTTAATTATTTTTTTATTCCGTTTTTACCCTTCTTAACTCGAAATGACAAATGGCTATGGAGAACGTTCCCGACAATTTAAGGTAAACTATTTGTCATTTTTAGTGAATAGTTTCATTAATAAATTAATGGATTTGGTCGGGGTGGAGCAAACCTTCTTATTCAAAAGGTTTTTGAAATAATAGTTGTTTGATAAGTTTTAGGGTTGCACCGTCGAGAGGGGCAAATTTGTCATTTCCTCCTCTTCTCGGTGTCTTACCTTATTGTCATTTTGTAATTACTGACTAAAAGAAATCAACTAATATGTCAATAATAAATGACAAAGATTACTGTAACGTTTATTATTTGCTCACACAAATTTGAAATGGAAAAAATAAATATATTGTTCAACATAATTGATCTTAGAGAGATTTCAGATTTGAAAATATGGATTAATTGGGTCGGCTGCAGACGCTTCGAATCTCGCCTTGTGATCCTGTGAGTGGTTCAATGTTGCCCATCTTGATCATAGCTGTCACAAAGTCAGCTTCAAAGGCATCACTGTCGTCACTGTAGAGTTCAACTAAGGAATCAGTGGATCCACCATCATGCAACACTTGATCGGAACGGAGTAGAGCCTTTTGATCTAGAAGGTTCTTGTAGTAGTAGTTGTCAAAGAGATTTGGAGTTTCGAAGTCTAGAGGAGCACGGTTATCGTCTCCTCCATTTACTGGGCAATTCCTCTGTCTCTCCTTAGCGAAGGATTCATCAATGTTGGTCTCGTTGTATATACGGTTCTTGAAAAACAAACACTTTGCTTGCCCGATTGTGTGAGCCCCTGCATGCAAGAAAAAAAATGCTTTAGATCGAGAAGGCTACGTAAAGATTCACATGATAACTTGGTATATGAATGATAATACCAGATAAGGCAACCAAATCTCGAGGGGAAAGGCCTTTAGTGTTGAACCGGTCGATAAGGCTGTCGAGTGTAGAGGTTGGCGGAGGAATGGCACCAACGACATCAGAGAAGCTAGCTGTTTGGGAATCTCTCCTTCCTAATTTCACCACCCAACTCGGTCCTCCAAGCTGTAACAATTTATTTCAAAACAAAAGAATTAGGATCATCAAGTCGAGTCAAATTAGGGTTAGAAAGTTAAAATACAACTCACTACTACAACGGAGTCCCGAGCAGAAAGAGTCAAAATATCAGCACAAGAGACAACACCAGGACAAACTTTTTCGACATTCTTCTTTATACTCTCAATCACATCGAACCCTCTAACGGATCTAACATTGGGAGCTGCAGTTTGCTCTCCAGTAAAAGTAGGAGTATCTTCGAGAAGAATAGATCCATCACAACCCTAATACACGACACAAAAATCAATCAAAGGAAGAACACATTAACATTAACGAAACATAAGAAGAAAAGAAAAAGGAGAGCTTTCTACATTAACAAAACAGTCGTGAAAGTGGAGACGGAGAAGAGAAGCGCCCATGCGAGCTTCCTTAGCGACAGCAGACTGAACACCAGCTCTAACAATGCCGAGGAGCTTGGGGCACGTGGTGTAGTAGAAGTTCGGGGAGAGCTGAGCGGAGGAGTTTCCCACGAGCAACATTGCCAATAAGACGGTTGCTAAAGCCATAGCCATTTTGTTAGAGGTAATGGCCATAGATTTGTAGTAATTTGGAGATTATTAGAAGAGATTATGATTGAAGTTTGAGGAAAAGGGGTATTTATACAAAAGAGGGAGAGAGAAAGAGGGATGAGTCGTCTTGGGCAGGTGGATTATGATTATAATTATTTGATTAAATTAGACTAATTAGAATGTTTAATTAATTATTATTATTATTATTATTATTATTTTGCCTCTGTGTTGGGACTATTTTGAACCGGTCATTTTTCTTTACCACCAACTTTGGAATAACGAACCGTTCAAATTTATTTCTCAAGATGGTATGAAATAACGAAAAAATCTTTTGAACTAATTCAAAATTTCGAGTTAGTGGAATTAGTGATCTGAATAAATCGAGTAAAGTTCATAATCGAACCCAACTCAACCGTCTATTTTTTAGTTGAGTTTAATTGAGATTGTCAAATTGTTTTTTTTTTAATTATTAAAAAAATTTAATTATACGTCATATTAACAACTAAAATCTCATTAAAATCGATTATAAAGGTTAAATATTATTGTGACCGGTTGAATTAGGTTGACAAAACAAAAGTCAACATGCAAACAAAATTGATTTTTTTTTTCGAATTTTCAAAAATTCAATCAAACCCAACTCGACTCTTAACAAAATCTAGCCTAACTGAACTTTTATGACTTAAGTTAGGTGATTCAAATTGATCGGTTATCAGATTATATGAACCTGAAGTTTTTCGGGAACCTTTTTAAATGATTATTTTTATATATTTTTAAAAAAATCTAGAAACCTTCCTTCAATCTTGAACTCACTAACTACGGTTAGATATTCCTTTTATTTTTTTAAACCAGGGTTAATTTCTATTCACCAAATCCATTATTTATTTTTATAGTTTTGTTGATGGTTAGATTTATTTTATTTTAATCTCCCTACTTTTAAATATTTAAATTTTATTTTTGTGATTATCGAGAAAAAGTAAAAGTAGTCTCTAATTTTATTTTATTTAGTTCCTTAATAATAATAATACTTTTCATTCTATAAAAAATCTCTCCACGGAAGAAATGATTTTTTAACAAAATAATAATAATACTTTTCATTCAGAAAATTAATGCAAATATATATTTTAAATTTGGTGACTAATTTCAGAGTAATTTATTAAAAGTACCAAAGTTAAATTTAAATATTTACTCCTATAGAAACTAAAATAAAACATTTATTTTTCTTTTTGTTAATTCAAATATGAAATGTGATATATTAATTTATTAAATTAATGGATAAATAACATTTTTTTTTTGTTTGTTTATAAAATAGACTTTTAATTATTTATTTAAATTCAATTTAATAGATAAAATATTAATTATCACTTGAAACTAAATTTAATTCAAAAGAAATAAAAGTTGGATTATTTATTTATTTTTTCACTTTGGTAAGGAGAGAGTCAAATAATTTAAATTTGGGTACTTATGAGGTACGACTTATTCCATTGTTTTTTATAATTTTTAATGTCCTACAAATAAATAAATATAATAAAATAGATTATTATTATGATTTTAGTAAAAAAGTTAATTAATCGATATATTTTTGCCGATAAAAATGAATTAAATAAATATATGATTATTTAATTAATTATAAATTTAATTTAGATAAACTAATTATGTTTTAAAAGTATGATACCTTAATAAGTAATGAATTAATAAATAATTAATTTGTTATAAATAATCAATAAATAATTAGTTATAGTTGTGTAAAATAAAACTTTAGCTAATTAATTAGATTAATTTAATAAATTTTTAGATGTAGAAAACGAAATAAATAAATTATTATTGATTTATTCTTGCCACATTATTCTATATACCATTTCTTCCATTTAATATTCTAGTAATTTTTTTTTAAACCAATAGCAAAATTATGGGTTAATTTTCATAATTTTAGGTAATAATAAAAATGAGTGAGAATAATCGAATCGAGATAAAATTATCCAATGACCTGGGCGTGAGTGACATGTGAATCCAGAATATTTCACCAGCCGAACATGAATTCTCCGTCAGGGCAATCACGGCAGCACCTCCCTGCACCGCGTAATCGCGGGAAGTTCCAATCGGAGGCGGAGAGATTGAGCGCCGACGTTGGAGGACTCGAAGCTTCATTGTTTCAGATGGTAAATGATCACCAGTACGCCTCTCTCAAGCTCCGAGAGAACTCCGGTTAGTTTCTACTTCCGCTTTCTCTTTCTTTCTTGGTCTTCGTGACCTTTTGCTGCTGACTGAATCGAATTTCGTAAAATGAAATCGTAATTGTCGTTATGAATCATGGCGATAGAGAAGGCGAAGAAAGATGCTATTCAGAAGGCGGTGCGCGTTTCGGATCTCTTAGTCGATGCCGTGAATGGTGGAGTTCAGGAATCTTTTGTCAATCAGAAGTTGATTGAGCTTGAAATTAGGGCTTTATCGACCACGATTACCCGATTTATGAAGCAGACCGATCAATGGCTCGCCGCCACTCACGCTCTGAACACTGCTGTTAAGGTTTGCTCTCATTCTGTGAAAGCTACTCTTGGTTAAAATTACATAGAAATCTACATTTTAGCTGTTTATAGGCATAAGTTAACTCAGCATTGTTGCGAATGGAAGCTCTCTAGCATTGTTATTGAAGTCCAAAAATTCATTCTTCCATAAATTGAAAAGTTTTAAAGTCAATTAAATCACTTGAGCTTGAAGGATTATGGAACGGCAGTTGATAATGCTTTTGGTACTACCTGCTAATCACATCTGAGTCTAAAAGATTTTCCCTCAATAGTGGTGTAAGTGGTGCATCATGGCTTGCATACTGCCTATTTATGTCCTACGAAGAACTTGTGGGCTATTAGACATTGAGTTATTGTGTATATTGTTAGAGTATTGTTAGAACTGTTTCGTATTTTTCATTTTTGTTTAAACGTTTTCTGTTAGATTCATGATAGTGGTTAGTTATTGTAACTCAGTCGCTGAGCAGAGTTTACAAAACCGGCCCCCTGTTCTCGTATCAAGAAATATATGAATAGAAGTGCAGTTTCTGAAGCTTAGTCAGAGGCATTTTGCAGCTATTTTTTTGTTGGTCTTCTTGAGACGACTTAAGCTATTATTCATTTTAAAATAATGAGTTCATTAACTTGCTAGCCATTCAGCACAACTTTTGGAAACAGTTTTGAAGTACAGAAGCAAAGTGCTATTTTTCTAAACAGCTCCTCCAACTATCATTTAGGTTTCAAGGATTCTTTTTCCTGGTTTGATAGTTTGTTTTCAATAACTTGTACATCACATTGATAGGAAGAGGAGGCTATAAACTTGAAAAAATACTTTTCAAACTCGTACAGGTTATGAATGTATTAAGGGTAAAGTGAAAATCAGAAAAGGTATCAAACTCCTCAGATTCAAGGTGGAAATAAATAAGATTTTTCCACTCGGCGTGGAGCTCTCTCCCTGACCCTCCCTCCCCCTTTTATCACCAGCTTCCCCTTTCCTGCACCCATACATCCATGATTGATTCTGACAGTGTTGCTTTATCTTCTTATAAATATGCATTAGTCTAGGAACATAAGAATCCCCATTCCCTAACAAGTGGGAAACTGATCAACTGGAATCCTCTATTGTTGTTTACAATAAACTTTTCACGATGGCTGGTACAAGATATCAAGAGCTCTCCACCGACATACAAGCTGTTACTGTTCTATGAACCCTTTGAATAAGACAGGGCCCTCCCTTGATATGAAGACAGAGAATGGGGGTTGAATTAGAATCTAAAACCTCTAGGTTCATTGATGGGATAATGAAACTTTCAAATACATATGAGACGCTTGTGGAGGTTTCATTGAAAAATTGAACAGAACCATGTCTAGAATGTATTTAATGGACACATCTAAAAAAAATCAAGGGCAATGGAATTGGTTATTGGTTTCCTAGCTGTTTTAAGTCTGTCGTCTTCATCTAAATGCCCATTTATATCAACATTGATCCTTTCTTCATTATGGACAATTACTTGAGTTATTCGGCTGGAATCCATAGCTTCATCCCCTGGCAACAATCTCCGATAAAAAATCCATCTTCAAAAGTGTGATGTTGACAATTCTGCAGGGGTTTTGGGACTGTACCCTTGGGGGCCATGTCAGGAGGAATATGGATCTTTTTTAACTCCTTCATTGAAAGTGATAATCATAGATATTCTTCTACAAAATGGCCTGTACACATGTTCTGATTTTAGACACTCCCCAACAGCCCCTCATATTGATTGTTTCCTTTATCAAAAGGGGTGATGGAAAAATTTACAAATGCATCAGTTAGATGGCTCTAGAGGCCTACATTGGTCCATTTCCCCATTCTTTTATCATTTGTTTGCTCTATTTGATGTCCTACCCCCTTTCGATTTGAGAATATGTGGTCACAACATCATTCTTTACTCTCTCTTGTGGAATATTGGTGGAAGAATACACCTCTTCGTGGCTGTCTGGGACATGGTTTTATCTTGAAACTTAAAGGCCTTAAAGCTATTGTGGAATAGGAACACTTTTGGTTGCATTACTACCCAAAAGAATCAGCTAATTACAGAAATAGCTCTCATCGACAGCAAGGAAGAATCTAGGGATTTTCATCCCTTTCACAAAATTCAGAGGAATTTATTAAAAGAAAATTTACTTAAAAAAAAAATCCTCTCGAGCCAAAAAATGCAAGATAAAGTGGCTTTGTGACGGTGACATAAATTCCTCTTTATTCCATCCAATTATGGCTACAAAAAAAGTGGAAAAATTCTAAATCACAAATTCTGTCTAAGAATAGCTGCCTCACTTATTCTGAAATTGAAATCAAGTTTCGCTCCTTCTTCACCAATCTTTATACCAAGAAACCAGGATCTGGTTCTCTTCCAACATCTTTCAATGAGATTCTCTTACTGCACAGCAAGAAACCAAACCAGGATCTGGTTCTCTTCCAACATCTTTCAATGAGATTCTCTTACTGCACAGCAAGCTTCGCTTTTAGAAATAGGTTTTACTGTGAAGATTAAATCAGCGGTATCAGGTTTGGGCTCCAACAAATGTCCTGGTCCGGATGGGTTTACAGCTGAGTTCTTTAAAATGTTTAGGCACATCCTTCAAAGTGACATCTTGAGTGTGCTCCAGAAACTTGTAGGAACAGGTTTATAAACGCTGCATTGAATGAAACCTACATTTGCCTTATCTCAAAAAAATGGACTCGCATACTGTAAATGACTAGTCCGGTCAACCTCACTTCTTGTCCTTACAAGATCATTGTCAGGGTACTCCCAGAGAGCTTAGAGACGGTTCTTCCTCTCATCATCACTGATTTTCAGTAGGCACTCATAAATTGTACTTGATACATCTTTTGTGACCCATTAACTTGTAGTGAACGGATTTCTCATCAAACTAAACATTGAAAAAGCTTTTGACAAGGTGGATTGGTCCTTTCTTGATAATATTCTAGAAGTCAAAGGTTCTAACCCTTGATGGCACAAATTGATTAAGGGTTGTATATCCTCGTCAAATCTCTCCCTCCCTTTCTTTTTATCCTGACTATGGATTGCTTTAGCTGTCTTTTGATTCAATTGGCATCCTCGGGATCTATGAAGGGGCTTGAAGTTGGTTCTAGTGGCTGTAATATCACTCATCTCTAATTTGCAGATGATACACTACTCTTTTCATCTCATGAGGCTATCCATAACTTATTTGGTATGGTTCACGCCTTTGAGAATGTCTCAGGTCTCAATATCAATATTTGCAAAACTGAAATTTTGGTCTTACCTCGGTCTTCCTTTGAACAACAACCCAAAGCTTTCTTCTTTTCCCACAGTGGAAAAAATACGAAGGATATTAAATGGCTGGAAAAGAACTTTCATATTTCCAAGGGAAGATGGCACACACTTATCCAAGCGACACTTTGTAACCTCCCCGCCTATTATATCTCCCTTTTTGAGATGCAAAACAAGATTTTCAAGACCGTTGAGAAATTATTCTGGAACTTTCTTTGGGGAGGACATGAGGGTTTCCATAAGCNTCTTATTGACAAAGTACGTCACTTTTTTTTTTTTTTTTTTTTTTTTTTTTTTTTTTTTTTTTGTTCTCTTTTGTAAGAGAATTTCATTGATGTTTGAAATTTACAAAAGGGATGTGTTATCCATGATGTTTTAAAAAAAAACCTTCCCAATTTACAACGAGGGAGGTATGACTATAGGAACCAAAAGTATTAGACAATTTACACCAAAATATACCGTGGTAAACAACATTGTCAAAGAGTTTTGTATAAATCTATGTCTTCGTCATGAATACTCTTTGATTTTTTTCCACCGATTCCAAAAGATGGAATCCAAAAGAAAACCATAATGAGATTTTTTCATAGCAAGACTTTTGTATTCTTAAAGGAGTGGTAAGCTAATGCCATGTCCAATAAATCGTTTACCTCCCTTGGAAAAGTGAGATGCCATCCAAATTTTTTTTTTTTTTTTTTTTTTTTTTTTAGAATCCCTGTTCATAAATTTTGTCTCTCTGTGAATAATCTAAAGACTTGAATCACCCAAAAGTTTCTCGGTTGAAGACCGACAGAAACTGGTTGAAAAGAATGACATGAATATCATAATCTTGAATATGTGAACTAGTAAAGCCTACCAACCAAATCTTATTTCCTTTCATGTTTTATACGTATCTTCCTTATGTTTTTTCTTTTTCTTTTTTCATTTTGATATGTTATCGAGATAGTAATTTGATGTGTGTTTATATTATAGGAAATTGGAGATTTTGAGAACTGGATAAAGACCATAGATTTCGATTGTAAGAGCATCACTACTGCCATCCATAACATTTACCAAGACTGAAGTACTCGTCGCGAAAGAGTTAACTGTCCTTTCCTTCACCGAGCTCATTCCGGTGAGTTGAAAAAGATATAGATCCTCACTCTCTGCTTTAAGTTCGCTGAATGTGTGCCCCCATAACATGGCCTGATAAGTTCTTGTGATATAACGATACAAAGGTGCAGCATATCCAGATGGAAACTCCTGTAGAAACTTGGAGCACCTCAGTACCCAACTTGGCTGCTACCTCACTAACTCTGTAAAATAATTTGTCCACTCTTCTTTTTTTCGAGTTCATTGATTTGTTCCTTATTTTAACACAGTGGAATCAATTTGTCTATTTATTGCTCATGTACGCTGCATCCATCCTTCTGAGTACAATTCTTAGCTTCTGCCATGTAATAATCAGTTCTACACTCTTCCATTTATGGTGTCTATATTATGCTCTCTCCACTGATACTCAGCTTCATAGTTATCAGAAATATTTGTTGGGTTTAAAGTGTTTTGATCTAAATTTATTATTGACCACAAAGTTCCTATGGCTTAATCGAATCATCTCCTTAAATATGCTACACTCTTCTTCTCCATTTTCTGACTTAGGTTTTGGAGTTTGGTTCTTCACTTGGGAAGCATCAAAATACCATTGCTTTTGGGTGATGATGGATATCAAGAAATGCATGAAAATGATGATGGTCGAAACAGGTGAGCCCTTTCTTGCTTTTAACCGAGTGCATACATTGAGTTGGAACTGTTTTATCTAATACTAGTATGTGCGGCAAGTACTTCTGCCTCATTCTGTTCCTGAATGGGAGGTATGCTTGGCCCCTTGTTACATTACCTTTTTCTATGCTTATGGTTTGAGACATCAAGCCGCATCACCTTCTCTTCGATAATAAAGGAGAAAAGGTTTTAATGCACCTAGGGTGTTTAAGTGCCCCTTTTTTTGAGGGGAGCTGGTCCATGTGGTAGAAGGCGAACAAAGGATAGCGTGCTTGTGTTAGAAGCGAGCAAGTGGGTGAACGAATCACCAACCAAACGGGCCACTTGGTAACTAGGAGCAGCACAGCAGCCCCGAAGGTCGAAACAGGCCCTCTGCTGGTGAGTTTCAAGTTCTTGACTTTGTCCACTCCTAATATTTCTGTTCATTAAGTGAATTACAAATTAAACAAAAGTTTCCTTCATGGTGTTGCCTCATTCTCTTTTGTGGTCAAGTCGAGCCTTTTCCTCTTTTTTTTTTTTTTGGAAAAAAAAGATCTATTAGTTTATATTGATCAAACATAACTTTCAAGGACTTGCAGCCTCGAGATGAAGCCACGTGGAAGAAGTGGTACTGCTCGCCCTTATTTTTTTAATAAAAAAATATTTTAAAATCAATAATATATTTAGAGAGACGGTGGTTTTCCCTTATTTATTTTATTATTTTCTGAAATAAGTATTTGAGTATATGAATTTGAATTACCATTAAACTATGTTGACTTTGAAGACCCTCTAATTAAATTAAATTAATACTTCTATTATTTTCTCCATTTCTTTTCAATTAAATCAAACTAATTATAAGTTAATATCAAATTTTCAAGTTCCATAATTATTACATCATCAATTTTATATAAAAAATAATTGATGTCTTATTCTATAAATTATATTCATTTACATCAATATTAAACATTGCATTTTTTAAATCATATTTCATTTTGGTCAAAGTCTAATATCGACCTATAATAACAATACAATAATAGTAATGGTATGATGATGATGATGATGAACAGGTTGAGTTGAGGGTGAAGCAGGCTCCGGTCAAAGTCCGTGGTTTTGACCAAGATGAAAATGATTAAGAAAATAAAATTGGAAAAATTTCTTGTTCCACGCGGTCCAATTCCAATTTCCACGCGTAATCTTCTTCTTCTTCTTCCTCCTCTTTGTTTTTGAATTCAAACCTTCCCATGGTTATGGAGTTCTTCTTCTCCAGTAGAGTTGAGGAGGATCCCACCGACGGCCGTCCCAGACTGCCGGAGAGTACGGCACCGCCCATTTCTTCTAAGTTCAGTTCGACTCCGAATCCGAATCCGCCATTGTTGTCGGCCATGTCTCAGCCTCTGTTCTCCCCTTCTTCCTTCTTCACTATCCCTCCAGGGATCAGCCCCACCCAACTTCTCGATTCCCCTGTTCTTCTTACCTCCTCTAATGTAAGTTCTACTTTTAATTCAATTTTAATCTTTTGGTCTTCTCTTTCATTTCATCACCAACCGCTGCTCATGATTTTATCTGCAGTTTCAGGCATCACCGACCACCGGAGCAATTTCGACCAGCCACCACCAAAAGAACATGAAACAAGAACAACATAACTTAGCTGAGTTCTCATTTCCTCGTACAAATCCCACAAAATCATCATCTTCATCATCAATAATGTTTCAATCGTCTTCAATGGTACGTTGAACAGACAAGACAAGAAAAAAACATGGAACATTCAAAACCCATTCAAATCCCTTCTCTTTTAACCTCTATTCCTTCAAGTTCTTCAAATATTTTTCTTTCAATTCTTTACCAAATTTAAATCACAAACAAATTCTAAAAAATTGGACACCCTCAATCATTAAGTTTTTAAAACGAGAGTTTATTTTCTCTAATTTGAGAATAGGTATTCACATGAGAACCCTTTTAGATTTTTAAATTTTTTTTTTTTTTAATGTTTTCTCAATAATTTGATGAACCCAATTAGATTGAATCAGGATCTCACGTGTGCCATCTCAATATAACAAAGGAGTTGCATTTAAGATTTTAGCCCAAATTCTTCTCTCGTTTGCCTTATGGGGGTCCAATACTTTTATGTTAGACTTTAATTTTCCTTATACCTTAAGTTTGTTCTCATAGTCTAATTTTATACAATAGCACCGGTCCTCGATCCCTATTTGAGACTTGATTTAAAGTATTTTTATATAGAACCTAATAACACATTGTCTATTTGGCACTCGATTGTCTTCTCTTAAATTTAAAATGCTTCAAAATAGTTTTGAACTTGTTCGTAAGCTTGCCCATCAAATTAGTCGAGATGAGTCTAGTATTTCATAGGTTTAAAATTATCCTTTATTTCATGTTTTTGGACTTAATCTTTAAGTGCACCAAACTAGTCATTGAATTATTCTTATATAAGGTTGTGGTTGAATTATTCTTACAAGGTTGTCCATCAAATCTTGACTCTAAATTTCCAAATTTTTAGTTAACTTAAAGTTGATTTTGTCGTCCCTTTACAGCAGCAAAATCAGGCATGGGTATCTCAAGCCGCCTTCAATTTCCCGCCGGAGACCACCGTGAACGGCGGTTCGAAATCCGACCAGCACCCACAATCTCAACCAAAAAACAGAGCATCTGACGACGGGTATAATTGGAGGAAATACGGCCAAAAACTTGTAAAAGGAAGTGAAAATCCCAGAAGCTATTACAAATGTACACACCCTACTTGCCCTGTTAGAAAGCAAGTCGAAAAATCATTGAACGGCCAAATCACAGAAATCGTTTACAAAAGTAAACACAATCATCCAAAACCAGAGTTCCCAAGAAGATTATCATCGGCTTCTTCTTCTTCTTCTTCTTCTTCTTCTTCTTCATGGCTATCACAAGCTTTACCTCAAACAATGGCGGTAGAGCCGAAGCATTCAATGGCCTCTGATTCCGTTCCGACGCCGGAGAACTCTTCAACCATGATTGGGGATGATGATTCCGATGAACTTGATGCAAAAAGATGGTTTTTTTCGAAACCCCATTTGATTTTATTTGAATTTTTTCAAGAAAAACCTTGTTTGATTCACATTTTTGTAGGAAAAGCGAGAGCGAGAACGAAATTATATTGGTCGCCGGAGGTAAAACGGTGAGAGAACAGAGGGTTGTGGTTCAAACGATTAGTAGGGTTGATAAACTAGACGATGGATATTGGTGGAGAAAATATGGACAGAAAGTTGTGAAGGGAAATCCAAATCCAAGGTAAATTCAAACATTTACTTAATTATGGTTTAATATATATATATATATATATCTTCCGCCACTCCCATGCTCTGAGCACGATGCGCCGCACATAGGTATATACTTGGGGTGTGGGCGTGGCGGCTGGAGGCCGAGGGCGGTTGACGGCGGTGCGGTGGTGGATGGAACACTCCAGCGCGTGCCCGCACACCCCACCTCCCTCCGCATGCTCCAACATATTTAATCATTTATTATTGGCGAATATTTTGTATGATCATGATCGAAGATTCTATTACAGTTTATCATAGTTATCATATTTTACCATTTATTATAAGCAAATATCAATATTGAGCTTTCATTACAGTTTACCATTACGAATCATAGGTATCATATGTATCCTAATGGATAAATATCTTGTATGCTCATTTCATTTTGTATATAATTTATTTGATTGGTTTTTACCAATATTATCACTAAGTTTGATTAAATGATTTAATCATAAAAGTTTATAATTTTAAAGTTGATCAAAAGGTATATTGATGAACTTAGGAGCTACTACAAGTGCACGTACGCAGGCTGTGGAGTGAGAAAGCACATAGAGAGGGCGTCCCACGATTTGAAGGCCGTTATCACTACCTACGAAGGCAAGCATAACCATGAAATTCCGGCAGCCCGCGGCGGAGGTAGCAGACCAGTCTCCAATAATCACGGCAACGACAACGGTCATGCATCAAACGGCGGCAGCGGTGACATATGGCCGAGTTCCGAGGTTTCTGGTGGCGATGATGGATTCTCTAACATGCTGTGGAGGACCAAAGAAGATGCCGCCGATGAGATTTTCCGGTCGTTGTTAGACTGATAAAAGAGTGTTCCTAGGTGGGACACTCGTGAAAGTAGGTTTATGTTTATAGTTTAATTAATTAACATACATCGATAAAATTGACATGTTTAGTTAAGATATACTTACAAATATATGCTTACACGTTAATGATTTGTATTAAGACCGTGTTCGAGTTTAAATTCAAACGTCTAATTTGTTTGATTAAATGTATAAATCTTAATAAAAAATGATATGAATGCGTGTCGCTAAAACGTTATCTTTAGCGACGTTGACCTTTGTTGCTACATTTGTCGATTATGCTGTGTAGTGGTAAATTTCGGTGATATTGTGAATGCGTGTGCTAAAGCGTTACCTTTAGTGACGTTAGAGCAATGATATTTTAAGCTATATGTTACCGTAACTATAAGGTAGCAATTTAGTTATACCGAAGCATGAACATATAAATGAACTTTATTGGACTTTTCTGGGTTCGTTTTAATATCATAACTGAATGATAGTCATAGCATAAGTATTACCTTTGAATTTCCATTGGGCTGTTTTGGATTCGTTTCCATATAAGAGGACGAATTTTCTCTGACAAGCTTCTTAAAATTTCTTCATTGTAGCTTTTTGTGATTCAACCATGCAAGGTTGTACTTTTTCAACCGTGCGGTATTGTAATCTTGACACGCTCATGACTAGATTTAAGGAAATTTAAGTTCCATATTCATTTTTCGTCGGATTTTGTGGCTTCGTCAAACCGTAGGCGAGATTTGTCTTCGCCAACTGAATATCGTTCGGGAGGAGTCCAAGCTTGTTCGGCCACACACATTGTCTACATGTCCATGTTCAATCATTTGCGACACAATTGATTTGCCTCTACAATAGGTCGAGTCATTCCGCTCGACTTTGTCTTTACTCAGGGTTAAGGTCTCTCAATATAACGTTGCTTCCCATCATCTCATGTTGATTCTCACTTAACATGGTACGTATAATCTTGACATCATCCTAAGTCAATGGGTATCGTCGGCCATCGCAACTCACTCGTTCATGCCATTGAGAACGGGCCCACGTGTCGTTATAATCATCGAGACATCTCAAACATCCATCCATCTGGGTTCTATCTAAGGCGTTGACCCTCGGGTGCCCATGCCATGTCATTTACGAATATCGTTTCGAATAATGGGTGTATATTCCTACCTCCGACATGCGAGAAGGGCACAATACCAGCACTCCGTGCCTCTGAATACTGTCCTTGAAAAACCCATTTCAAAAGAAGTCGCTCGAAACACTTGTCTTAGACCACAAGGCCCAAAAGTGGTGGAGAGCTAACAGGGCCCAGGGGTGGAATGCTCTTGAGTAGACGTGATTTTAGCGAACAAGCATAAGGTGTCGTGGAGCATCCATCCAATGTCCGATTGACACTAAATTTGACGAATATTCATATTTTATATAGACAGACTTAACTCCAGAAACACATATCCAAATTCCTTTCAAAACCCCGACTTTTGAGGTTAAGTCCCAAGGTCCTATCCGACCCTTCAACAAGCCTATCTTTAACACTCTTGTCTACTCATTACCCTTATCTTACTTATACCTCGACTTCAATACCCACAAACCCGTCAACTAGGCCATCATATATTCTTTTTATGACTATTATTGATCATGTGGTCGTGTTTTGTATGTGGAAAAACATGAAGAATATGGATAAAGTGGAAGAGTCTCCCAATTTCTCCGCCGGAAACTATGATCTATGAACTCAGATCCTCTTTCTTCTCATCAATGCCTCTCTTATTTCTTTATTATTTCTTTATTATTTCCATTCAACATTGCATGTGCACTCTTTTCAATCATCAACTCTTCTCAACATTCAGCTTCTGCAACACTCACATGCATGCATAGTTTAGATTTACCTAAGGGTTAGGGCTATCCCTATGTGATGTGATCCATCTCGAAACGACCGAAAAATTTCCCTTCTCATAAGAAATGAAGGATCGAGTTAAAAAAGAGATTTTTCGTGTTAGTTAAACGGGGATGAGATTATTTTTCCTGTTCTCGACCTTGCATCCGCTCCACCCCACTCGCTTTATGTGTGTGGACTACTATGTTATAATATTGAAATTTGAGTTCTTAGCATAAAAATTTTTGCGGGAACTCGAACACTGCAACTTTCCTATCCTAATCACTGCAAGAATAAATGAGAAATTTTGTAGATCGAAAGTGTAACGGTCCAAACCCACCACTAGTAGATATGTCCACTTTGGCCCGTTATGTCTTGTCATTAACCTCACGGTTTTAAAACACGTCTATTATGGAGAGGGTCTAGCCCTACTCCAACCAATGTCTCACACCATCCCATGATTGATTATGATACCATTTGTAATAGCCAAAACCCACCACTAGTAGATATTGTTCGTTTTGGCCTATTACCTATCGCCGTCAGTCTCACGGTTTTAAAACGTATCTATTATGGAGAGGGTCTAACCCTGCTTCAGTGACTGACTCTAATACCATTTGTAACAGCCCATACCCACCACTAGTAGATATTGTTCACTTTGGCCCGTTACGTATCGCCATCAGCCTCACAATTTTAAAACGGTCTACTATGGAGATAGTCTAGCCCAACTCCGACTACAACTTCTCACTGTCTAGTGACTGGCTCTGATATCATTTGTAACAGCCTAAGCCCACCACTAGTAGATATTGTCCACTTTGACTCATTACGTATCGCCGTTAACCGCACGATTTTAAAACGCGTATACTAGGGAGAAGTTTCCACGCCCTTATAAAAAATCTTCTCCGTCCCTATCCGGTGGGTATCTCTCATCCAGTTTCACGCCCCACTTATGCAAACTCGTAAATTTATAAATAAAATACAATTTGGTAGCTTACTTAATAGTTAATAGTTATGAAGAGATTTATTAATCTCTTCCATCAAAGTTGATTATAATGAAGAAGACAAATCACTTGGTATTAAGAAACATTAATTAAACCATAAACTTGTGTATTATTATAATGTTTGAAACTATAGGAGAAGAAAAAAAATGGGGGAATCCATGTGAGAGTGAGAACACCAATTTATAAATTTATAATATGCTTTTATATATATACATATTTTGCCAGCTGGTTTTGCAGCTTATATGTATCAATATATTATTTTAATTAATATTATACTATATGGTAAGTTCTTTAATAATTTGGTGCCTTTGTTCTTCATCAAATATCTAGCTTAATAACTTAATCTTAAATTTTAAACTTAATTAAACCCTAACTGAGATGAAAGAATCAAATATCTTGGTTTTTGCAACTAATTAAATAATTTAACTATATTTAATTTTAATTTAGTAATTTAATTAATTTTTAATTTTAAAAATAATATTTTTATGTTTTCTATGTAAGATAAAAACTCGAGCCAATGTATTATTTCATAGTTATTAAAATTTAAATATATAATAAAACTAATTTTCATATAATTAAATAAATTATAGATTTTTTTTAACATAATAATGACAAATTCATTTTATAATATACATAATGTGTCAGTGGGAAGATTAAACAGTATTAAAGAAAATAATTTAATTAATGCCAGCTCATCAATGATTGAAAGAAAAATATTTATTTATTTAATTTATTGGATTTAAATTAGGAACCAAATGTATTTCAAAGTCAAAAGAATTATCCAATCATTGAATTGGATTTTACCCTAATTACAAATTAACTGTAAATGTTAATTATATTGCCGTAAATTATGAATTTTAATTTTGTCACTAATATTTAAAATAAATAAATAAACAAATAGAAATAACTATATAATCAATTTACAATTTCTCGAGATAAATACAATTCCCAAACGTTTTTTTTTTTTTTTTTTTTTTTTTTTTT